TAACATAGCAAGGTTTTCTGAAATCCCATAAGCTCACAGGCAATTCTTGTTCATTCATGCATTCACCCATTCACAGACTAACCAAGCTACTGAGAGTGTAGCAGTGACCACGTATTGTGCTAGGCTCTATGTGGAACAGACAGAAGATGTTGAACTTTGCCATGGTTTGAACTTTGAACTTTGCCATGCCATGAACTTTGAACTTGGTTTGGCACCAAGTTATCTGAAAAGATGCCCATAGACCCACCCTGTAAATTCCCAGAGGAGGAATTTACTCCAAGTGAGTACTCCCTGGATCAGTCAGGGGCCACTGTAAGTATTTCAAACAGGAGAAATTCAGTGAAGGGACCTGCTTTCAACTGTTGAAAGAGGATCCTGAAGAAGTTGCGACAACTCCAGGACCATTAGGATGGGTAGCTAGTACCACAGCGGGAACATACTGTCCTGGACAGAATCTGGGACACTGGAAAAGCAGAAGGCAGATCTGAACCATGATGTGGCAATGGGGATAGAGAGGAGGGACTAGAGGAGAGAGACAGGCAGGACTTGGTAATTCCATCTGATGTGGGATGAGGGAGGAAGGAGGCAACAAATATGACTAAGAGGTTTTCAGCTATTCATAGAAAGAGGAAAGTTAGGAGGAGGAGGAGGTAGGTTTTGTTGGGAAAATCGCAATTCATGTCACTAGAACTTGCTAAGAATGTTGGTGTGCACTGTGCTCCTTCAAAATATGTTCCTAGTCCATTGTCACCTCTTTGCAACACCCCTGTGCTAAATGCTAAAAGATCAATTCAACAGCTTACACATCCTCAAACCTGTGCATTCCTTTTCAGCCTCCTAATGGTTTCATAGTATGAAACACCATAGAACCGGACTAATTTATTTGAGACCTTCCTTGCTTATTGGCTTAACCATTACTAAGCATAGATCTGCCTGAACAATAAATAAAACACACGCTTTTGTTTGAAATCATTTCCTGGGAAACAAATGTCACTTATAATGTCACGAAACAGACAACTGGAAGCAGAAGTTTGCTTAACCTAATCAATTTTGTTGTTAAGGTAGATAAAAGTTGTGTTTAGAACACTGTCTCTATAAGGACTTACTGAGGCCAATACCTTTGAAAAGTCTGTGTTATTTATGAATTCTTCCCTAATTTTATGTAATTACATATTCTCCATGAGACAAGAACTGGGAATGAAACTTTTTAAATGGTAACGTCCTAACAACTCCACCCCCACAAAAAAATCAAATGCAAAACCATATTCTCTTTGTTAGTATGCCAATAAATATATAATTAAGAATGCCAAGCAGTGGGACAAGAACCTCATCTTCTGTCTTATTTATATTCCTACCGCATTGTCAGAAGGAAGTGAAAGCCTGACAACAATTATCTATATCTCCCAGAAATACTTATTACATGTGATGATATTTACAAAGAGCATTTGTTTTATTCCTGATAACATAAATATTACTAAGCCCAACTGTTGGTACTACGTGATTTCTCCCTTAGAGTAAACTTAAGCAACCAAATGAGTTTTTAAAGCAAAAGCCAGGGCAGAAGTACCCGAGGAAGCCATACTTAAAGGAGAAATTTTAATCCAAACCCTTAGTATTTTTCTATTAAGATAAAATAATGGGAGTTGAAACACAGGTCAAGACTACAATGAGATACCACAGTAGGCACATTTGATTGGCCAAATCAACACTGACAACACCAAGAGTTGCAAAAAATATAGATCCATAGAATCTCTTATTCATTGCTATTGGGAATATAAATTGATACACATGCTTTGGGAAACAGTTTGGTATTATGTAAGGTGAACATTCACAATTCTTACAACCCAGCAATTTCACCCAAAAGAAACTCCTGCATCTGTACAAGAATTTTTCATAGTGATCCATCAAGAGTAAAATGCATAAAAAGTGCTAGACTTTACGATGCTTGCTCAAAAGATGGCGTTTATCAAATGAATGCTAGCATCACCAAACAACAGGCAGGACAGTCAAAGAAAATGGAGGAAGCACGGTTGAGTGAACATCATACTATACATTGCTATGGTAATTTAATTTAACTTCAAAAAGTAATACATTGACAACAGCTCTCAAAATGTGTTTCCTTTTTTTGGCATCCCTGTATATGTAATTATATGTAGATGAGCTAAAACTAAATTAAAAAGGGACCATGACCAGGATTGGGATGGTAGCTTTCCTGGAGACAGGAAGGCCAGAAAATGGGATGAAATGGCAGGGGGCACAAGAAATACGGGTCCAAATTTTTTCCAAACACCAGGCTCCACTTTGTTAAAAGTTAAAATTTTGAGGGAGGTCTTTCCAAAAGGGAAGTTAGCAAGAGAAATTACTCTGATTCCTTCTCCATCAGCGGATCACCCCAGCAGGTAAGCCCCTAAGGAACATAGATCATGTGTAAAAAGATTATTTCACTATGTTTTCAGCTCAAAAGCACCCTAATCTCAGAACCTCTAGCTCAGTCACACTCACTTGAAGAACTACTGAAAGCTCGGGGAAGGGCTAGAAGAGATAACACTTATGCACTGCATGGGGCATACACTTTGTTTTCAGCTCAACAGCACCCAAGAATCCACTCTGTGGCTGTCAGGATTATGTCCTAGACTCCGGCTGGCAGCACGGCCTTGTCTAGAAGGCAGAATTCAGATCAGAAGTGGAACAGGAGAGCAATGTCAAACATCTGAAGTGGCAATTCCAGTTCTACCTCAAAAGGGCCTTTTCTACAGATAGAGACTGACTTATCTCTGGTGGCACGTACATACACAGCCTGCAAGCAAAGGGCCTCTGTGTAGGCCATGAGTTCATTCATTCAGCTTCTGTTACCCCTTCCTGGCCAGGCTCACATGGAAGCAAATGAGAGCATGGGAATGTATAAATGTCAGGAACCACTCATTCCATCTAGGTGAGTCAAACAACAATTCCAACTACCTTAGAATCTAATCCTGGCCTATGCAAGTGCACACACAAGAAACTTGTCTCTACTCCCTCCTCCCCACCAAATCGGTATTTGTCACCACAACCATATCAGTAAGCAGCAAGAATTTTTCTCAGTTACCCACAAAATCTGTACATTTGAGGTTACTTTGAAATGCCGACTGTCTATACATAGTTATTTTAAGAAAAAAAGATGGACATTTTTGTTTTTCCAATTAAAGCAAAATAAAAAAGCATGAGGTCCGATTTTACTTCCACTATATCCAGATATTTCTGCCACCATGAGATCCTATACTTATAAACATGATCTTGACCACTACAGTTTAGTAGTACATGGTAAAAACAGATAACACAGAGATGATAAACTCAAGATGAGTGGACATCAGGATGTGTATGGGACAGGAATAGACTCTGAAGTCTAAGAGTTCTGGGTCAGAATCTCTCTCCACTAACTACCGGGATGGTCACTTAAATGATGAGCTATATCTCCCTCTCAAACCTTAGAACTACTCATTTGTACAACAGGGCAATACTGGGACCCACTTCATAGTGCAGTAGTAAAGGTGAGATAAATGAATGTAACATGAAATGGAGCATGCGGTTCACAGTTAACATATGACCTTCACTATTTGTCTTGATGAAATATTCACATACCTGGCAAAGTATGGTAAGTGAGATAAAAAAAACAAAATTTGGAAAAGGATCTTTTTTTGCCCAGTCTCTTAACACTAAGGACAATGTGTTCTGTGTATGGTGCAGCTGAGAAGGCCGAGGGGCACCAAGATACCACATGAGAAGGGCAATTTAGAAACACATCTCAACTTTCTGTCTTACCGGGAATTAAGGACAGCAGGTGATCCCCTATCTTGGAGTGGAACTATCACTTCAGTGGGATTCCCAGATTCTCAGGGGCATCACAGTCTCAGTCATCTAGAAGTTGTGCCCCAAAAAGGCTAGGATAGGAAGGATATGGTATGAACCCTGTAGTGAGTGACCTAAAGGGATACTGTTGGCTCAGTGAAGCGAACAGAGCTGACCCAAGTTTCAGTAACAGCAAGTCAGGGCCCTCCTACTTGCAACATGAAGTAGTGCGAGAACAGAGTGTGGTCCCAGACCAGCATCACTGGACTTACCTGGGAACCTTAGAAAAGCCAAATCTCAGGCCTCCCCTAGGCCCCTTGCATCCGAAACTCAGTGGGTAGGCTCAGCACTCTGTGTCTCTACAAGCCCTTCAGGGAACTCTGATGCATGCTTGGGTTTGAGAACACTTGCATAGAATGATCAGAGATCTCAAAGCTTAAGCCAACCATCCCCAGAAAACATACCCAGGGAATAGCCAGCAAGGAAGGAAAGGAAATCTTTAGTAACTTCCCCAGTTTCAGTGGGAAGATAGTGTTAGCTATCTCACCACTGGACTTCAATTTTGAATCCCATGCTGCTTCTGGAATAAGAAAGGAGGCACCAGAACACTTCCTGGTTCTCCACAAACTGCCAAGATGGGCTCCTGAAGGGCAGGAGCTGAGAGTCCGCTGTGCCCAGCCCAAGGCGGGACAACCAGCAGGCATCAGCAAAGGTGTGAGTAACCAACTGAAGAAAGAACAAGCAGCCTTTCCCATGAGCAAGTCCTAAGGAATGAATGAGGTGACTGTTTCCTTTAGTCCCTGACACAATGCTTGGCTCCTGAACCAGAAAGGGCAAGGACTTTGTGGGGGCTGACTCCAGCTAGCTTCCCCAGGCCCCACAACTACCAAGACCAGAGGGGACCTGAGGCCCAGATTACTCCCTTACTCCGCCTCCCTGTCTGTCCCCTAAACTTAAGCTCGCCAGAGGTCACGGGCGCAGGTCACATCCACCCTTGCCAGAGGGCAGAGCCCTGTCCCTGGCGGTCGGCCAGAGGCATCACTTCTCCTGCTGGAGTACATGCTCTAAGCATCCCTCGACTAGTGGCAGTGTCCCCCAACCCCAGTGGACACCCCATCACCACTACTGCAGTATCACCACCCTCCAGCCCCAGGCCCACCCTGGCACATCCATACCTGTAGTAAGACAGCAGGCCATTGCCGAGCACGAACCAGCGGCGCTGGTAGCCTTTCAGGTAGTTGGTCCACTTGAGGAGCCAGCCCTTGAAGCTGTCCAGAGGCAGTAAGGTCATTGTGGCACTGGAGGTCATGCCAGTGCCTGACACTGGAACCCCAAGAGGAGTCTTCGCCTGCCCTGGCCGCAGAAGAGGCAGGGGCTTTAAGGCCGGCACGGATCCTGACTCGAGTCTGAGCAAGGGCCCTCTCCCCACTCCCTGGGCTAGCGGCTCCGACACGGCCTTGGTGAAGAGCCCGGCCCCTACACTTGGACCCGACTCTGACCCCGTCCGCCACCCCAGCGGCGGTTCCGATGCCTGCGGAGCCCTTGGCCCGGGCTCAGACCTCGTCTCAGACATAGGCTCCGACCTTGGCACCGGCTCAGAAACTGGCTCTGACACCTGTTCCGACAGCGGTCCCCGCTCCGGCTCGGGCGCCGGCGGGGGCTGAGGCTTGGGCTCCGGCCCGGAGCCGGACGTGGAGGCGCTCATGCCCGGCGCCGCCGTGTGGCAGGACAGGCAGGGCACAACCGTGAACAGCGA